GGGGGACTCCAACACCGCTCCGAGAACTTGGCGCGGGCCGCCACAAGTATGCCTATGCCGTTCTTGCCCCCTCGGGGCACGGAGCAGAATCTGGCGCGAGGCTGCACGAGGGAGCTGCCGGGAGGGCCGAGGCCTGCCGACGCGTTGACGCAGTCGTCTTTCAATTGGTCCCACGCCTCTGACCAGGGCTGAACCCAAACGGTGTTTGTCGTTTTCGTTGTCTTCGTTCTCCCTCGCTTTTGTCTTCAACCTGCCTCTACCGCAAAACGAAGTCGAAACGAAAACGGCCCACGAAATCGCCAGAACACCGTTTAGGTCCCACGCCTCTGACTCCGCGACCTGTTGCCAACTGTCGCACAGCCAGCGGTTGTCAGCACATGTTGCTCGATGTCGAGGTCTCGTGGCGCCCTCGGCGTCGCCGGGCTGCCACATGCGGGTCAAGGTGTGGAGCCCAATGGATCACTTGTGTCTGCCATTGCGATGCCTGCGTGGTAAGAGGAAGCCAGGACCGGGGCAAAATCGGACCAGCACACAGCGGCGATCTCTGAGATCCGGCGGCTCCAGGGAGGTGAATCGGGCGCCGAGGCGGTTCCGGAGCGCTCAGAGAGAGATCGGACACGCTCTGGAGCCTTTTATGCAATCGGACCCAGGCCAGAATAACATCCTTCAAGAATATGAGACCCTCCGTCGGCCATACTAAACAGAACATCGAAGGGTGTACACCCCCCCAGGGCGCGCAAAAACATCCAACAACCACGAAGAACATTAGGGTACCCTCCCCGAACCGACCTCGATCTTATACCTCTGTCCGACTGTGTCCGAGTCCAGGCCCCGCCCGAGGAGGCAAGGGCTCGGCGGACAAAACCGACAGGGATTACTATGCCCACCTGGAAGGGGAAGGGGAAGGGGGAGAGAAGAGGCGCGAGGACAGCGTCTCGCGAAGTCTCGTGGGGACGGGCGACTACACGGCCGAAAAAGCTCGAGCTCAGTAGAGCAGTGTCTTAGAACGCCTTCCCAGTAGAATTAGCCCGTCGCGGGGCGGGGCGACGGCTTTTCGGGGATCTACTGGCCCGGGTCAATCCAGACCCAGGTCAACAAGGCTCTGCAAGATACTGCAAGATCCTGCTGGATCTTGCACCCAAGCCCGGGTCAATGCGACCCTGGCTCTGCAGGACCCTGCAAGATCCGGCGCTCTGACCGACCCCCGTTTGCATTGACCCCCGTCTCTTGGGCCCGGAGCTCTTAGAGAAAAAGCGTCGCCAGGGGCACCGTTGCCCCCAGTGGTCGGCGCCACTTCTCGCGCGGTCGGGAAGGCCTCCGAAGCTCGAGGCGGAGGCAGGGCCCCTCGGAATCGCCGCGTCCTGCCTGTCCTGCGCCATCGGGCTTCTGGGGCCGCGCACCTCGCCTCGCCATCGCTCGGACCCCCCATTCTCCGTGCATTCTTCGGTTTCGATGACCTCAAATTCTCCTCGATGGTCCTTGCCGAGAGCAATGCAGACGTCCGAGCGATGCCAAGACACGGGCAAACATCGCATCGTCGGATGTGTGTGTGTGTGTGTGTGCGTGTGTGTGTGTGTGTGTGCGTGTGTGTGTGTGTGTGTGTGTGTGTGTGTGTGTGTACGAGAACGGCGCCTATGCACTGTACCATGTTTGGACCCCTTTCAGGCCCTGATCTAGCGCGGGACGGTGCACAAGTTTCTGACCCTGAAGGCCGAACGGAGATGCACCGTACAGCTCCTGGGTTGAAGATCCGCGACGCCTCGGGAGATAGCAGCGCGGTACGGTGCACACAGATTGTCCGCGGATGTGTGGGAGAGGGGTGGCCGCAGCGGCGCCGCGACCGGGGCGCAGCAGCAGCTCGCAGAGGGCCCCAGATGCCGCGGAAGCTGCGCGCGAGGAGGGTCCCTAATTAGGCGGCGCGGCACAATCTCGCCATCGCTCGGACATCTATATTCCCCTGGCATTTATCGGTTTCGTGCGCGTGCCCTCATGCTTTTCCCCCCCCCTCCCCCCCCCAAAGATGACCCAAGGGGCTCCTCGATGGCCCTCGCCGAGGAAAACATGCACACGTCCGAGCGATGCCAAGTCCCTGGGCGCTCCGCACGATGGCCCCTGGGGCAGGGCCACAGTCAGGTCGGGCGTGTCCCAATACAAGCGGATCTTGGACGAAAAATAAAAAAACACACACACCAAACATTCTCAAGAATGGCCCAAAACATATTCAACAAACATCGTCCCCAACGTATTGTTCCAGTATTTTCCAATGCTCCTCCCGGAGAGGCGCAGGCCCGACGGAAGGCCACAGCCAAGGGCGACGCAGGCCCACCGACGGCGGACGACGCACGAAGGAGACGACGACGGCCTGCGACGCACGACGCCGGCGACGACGGCGGCGGCGACGCCCGGCGGGCACCTCGTCGCCCGCGCCGCCGCCATGGCGCCGCGTCCGCCCCCGAGCGGAGACCGGCCCCCCACCGGCGGGGCCCCGGGAGACGGCCGGAGGGTTCCACGGGGGGGTTCTGGGGAGGGGGTTTTTGAAGGGGCCCTGGGACACACAGAACAGGATTCCACATGTTTTCCCATATTTCCTGGGTTTCTGTCTTCCCCCCCACTTCCCACATTTTCCCATCTTTTCTCGGGAATCGACGATTCATTGTGTCTGTGGTTTTTGTCCCTCTCGGGTTTTCCAGGAGGGGTCCCCCAGGGGCTTCGCGCCCCCTGTTCTGACGAGGTTCCGGGGCCCCTGCAGGGGCTCTCTGAAAAACCCCCTCCCTCACCAAAGCCCCATTTTGGAACCCTCCGGAAAAGGGGCAGGGAGGTGGCGAGCGCCCCGCGGGCCGGCTGCGCGCGCGGCGCGCAGGTCGACGTCGTCGACGCCCTCGTCGTCCGCCGTCGTGCGTCGTCCATGTCGTCCATGGTTGTCGTCGCCAGTCGTCGTCCGTCGTCGTCGGCCGACCGTCAATTGTCCGCCGCCGCCGCCCTCGCCGGCGAGGTCGCTGTCGTTGCGTGGCAGGGGGCCCCTGGGGGGCCGGGGGAGGTCCGTATCCACCGCTTCCCAAGGGTCCAGGACAGGAATGTCGGTTTCCCAGGCGGTGCGTATGTGCAAATCCCAAACTCTTGCGAGGGCGCCCGGCAGCCCTGGCAGCAGCGCCGCCACGGAGAGGACCACTTCGACGATCGGGGCGGCATCGCATCGTGGCGGCATGGGAAAACATCGAGCTGGAATCGGCGACGCATCGCCGATAGATTGACGATGTAGGCCCTCGATAAGCCCAACTTCTGATTTTCCGGGCCGTCGGGCGGCTTCTGCCTCTCCCGGCCCTTCGCGGATCCTTTCCCAACTGCCCCAGCTGCCCCGTCCGTGGGCTGTGGCGCACGGCCGGCTGCTGCGAGCTCGGCCTGCGCCATCGAGGACGACCGAGCCAAGTCCTCTCATCAGCCCTCCATCGTCGTCCCCCTCACCGTCGTCATTATTCCAGTCCCCTGGGGACGTGCGATCATCATCAGTATTGTCGTCGCCGTTGACCGCAACCACCGAATCAATAGCATCATCATTACCACCACCATCACCGTCATCAGCTTCAGCACCAACACCAAGACCACGAACATCGCCATCATCATCATCATCATCATCATCATCATCATCATCATCACCATCATCATAATCATAATCATAATCATCATCATCATCATCATCATCATCATCATCATCATCATCATCATCATCACCCGTCACCATCACCACCATGACCACCATCATCATCGCCATCATCATCATCATCATCATCATCATCATCATCATCATCATCATCATCATCCTCGTCCTCATCCTCCTCCTCCTCCTCCTCCTCCTCCTCCTCATCATCATCATCATCATCATCATCATCATCACTTCCATCACCATCACCATGCCGCCCGCGGACACTCAGGCTAAGGGGCCGGGCCCACATCTGGACCTTGGGGGTGGCCGGCCCACCATGCCATTCGCCCCCGCCTCGCTGGCGTGGCACGCGGGCGCCTGCACCTCATGCCTCAGGTCGTGGGTGGGTTGCTCAAATCGTCCGAACGCCTGAGCTCAATTGGCAGCATAGTTCGGCCAAAAAATACATATTCATGTTGGCACACTGTCCCCGATTAACTTCAGTAGCCGAGCGATGGCGGTGAGAAAAAGGGCGCGTGATGGCGATGATGTTTTTTTACGGGTGGCGGTGCCGCGGGGCCCTGTGCGCAGGGTTCCTGCCACTTCTACGAACTTGATGCCCCCCCATAACGATGGAGGCGGAACCCAGGGCCCCCCGGACGCTGCGATCGTCGAACCGACCGACCCCACCTCGCCCCACGGAAGCGGAATCCGGCCCCCCCCCCCCTTGGGCGCTGCAAGCGCCTGGACCCGCTGCGTTCGCTCCCATGGACTTGGTGCACCAAATGCCTACTCTGCGCCTCCGCCTCCGCCCGTGCTGCGCCGCCCACGCGCGCAAGGGCTGACAAAGAGGGGGGAGGGTGGCCCAAAGGCCTCTCACTAGCTTTAGGGCCCCCGGCAGGCCCGACCCGCACTCCCACCAAGGGGGCCCTCGCCCACAGTGGCCGCAAGGTTCCCGGGGAGGGAATGCGGGATCGCGAGGGAGGGGAGGGCCCACCCAAACCGCGGGGATGTTTGAGCCACCCAAACCCAGGGCCGACCACGTGGCCAGGGCAAGGGGCGCGGTCTCGAAGCCCTGCCCATCCTCTATAAGGCTCTGCGCGGTTGGTGTACCCCGCCCGGCCGGACACCCACCCCTGCCAGCGGAGGAGGGATGGGGATCCACGGGCACGAAAATGGCCCAAGCTGTGCAAGCTCCCGCCGGAAGGTGGGGTTCAAAACGATCCCGGAGGCACGCCATGATGCCGTTCGAAGTCCCCTTCCGCTGGGGGCCGCCGCCGAGCCCCGCCCGGGACACGACCCAAAGCGATCGGTCGACGGCCCTTCCTGATCGGAGGAGTATTCAAACTGGCCGACAAGAGGGGGGTCTCAATGGCCTCTCCCCCGGCCCCGACACCCACTCACATCAAAAGAACGCTCGCCCACCGCGGCGGCCGCACGGTTCCCAAGAATGGGATGCGGCATCGGGAAAAAGGACCCCCCAGGCGCGGGGAGGTTTGAGCCACCCAAGCCCAGAGCCGACCACGTTGCTCGGGCGTCCCCCGCTGGCCTGGCGGCCGTCGGTGGCCACCCGCCCCTCGGCGGTGGCCCCTACCGAATTCCCAGCCGAGCCAAACGCCATGGTGCCGCGGCTCGCGGAGCCGCGAGGGTGCGACCTCGCCGCTGATGCTGGCCAAACAGTTGAGACGCAACAAATCTAGCTAGAGCGTTCCAGCTGATCATGTTTTGCTAGACAAGAGACGCAAACCTTGATCACTCAACCCCCTGCCGCGGCAACTGGGCGACCGCGGCCTTGAAGAGGTCATGGAACCTCCCGCCCACGTTGGCCTGCGCACGCTTGACGCGCTTGGACGAGCGCGCGCGGGCCATCTTAAGCATAAGCTCCTCCATGCGGGCGTGGTCAGCATCCTCGAAGGCCCACTCCATGGAACGCTTCTTGATGCCGGCGAGCTCGTCAGCTCGATCTTTGGGAAGGTCGCCTGCTTCAGACCCCGCGTCGCTGCCAGTGGTCGCTGCCGGCGCCTTCGTGGATCTGCCTTTCGACGTCAACGAACTGCTGGACCAAACCCGAAGGACTATTACTAGCCGGCCGCTCTGCGGTTGATCGGGAGTTTCACTATATTGAAGAAGGGGCGCGCGCTTCTCAGAAGAGGAAAATCATCGAGATGATCATGACCGCGAAGATCAGGAGGGCGAGGGTCGCGAAGGGGAGGGCCAGGATAGTGAGGGTCACGCGGGCGTGGATCAGGCGAGCACGGAGCAGGAGGTTTAGGATGTGGAGAAAGAGGGCCAGGAAAGCAATGATGGCGAGAATAAAAATCAGGAGGGTGAGGATTGGGAAGGAGTGGCGCTCCCCGCTGCCATGCTGGCACTGTCACCTCCTCGTCCTCCTCCTCCTCCTTTTCCTCTTCCTCCTCTGCTTCCTCAAACTCCTCCACCTCGTCGTCTTCCTCCCTCTCCTCCTTTTCCTCCTCGTCTTCCCCCCCCTGGGATGTTCCAGATCTCGCCGGGCCTCTGACGGCCTCGTTGGGGAGGCTCGAACGGCAATTTTTCTCAGGATTTCCCACGCGAGGGCGCCAGTTTGGAATTCGTCGCCGGATTCGCCGGATTCCACGGATTCCCGGATCTCGCCTCAAACGGAACAGGGGGGCCTCGGAGGACCTCCTTTGGGAAACTCCAAGGGGTGTTTTTTTTACGATGTCCCACGCGCGGGCGTTGGTTTGGAATTCGTCGCGGCATTCGCCGGATTTCCCGGATCTCGCCTCAAACGGAACAGGGGGGCCTCGCAGGACCTCCTTTGGGAGGCTCCAGGAGCGTTTTGTTAGGATGTCGCACGCGAGGGCGTCGGTTTGGAATTCGTCGCTCGGCGCGCTGGATTTCCCAGCCGGACCTCGCCTGAAACGCAACATGGGTGCCTCTGAGGGCCTCCTTTGGGAGGCTCCAGGAACTTTTGAGGATGTCCCACACGAGGGCGTCGGTTTGGAATTCGTCGCTGGGCGCGCTGGATTTCCAAGCCAGATTTCGCCTGAAACGGAACAGGGGGTTTGTGACGGCCTCGTTGGAGAGGCCGGTTTGGAATTCGTCGCTGGATTCGCCAGATTCCCCGCATCTCGCTCGACTTTGAACAGGGAGGCATGTGAGGACTTCCTTGGGCAAGCTCCCGGGGTGGTTTTTCTGAGGCTGTCCCGCGCGATGGCGCCGGTCTGGCATTCGTGGCTGGAGTTGTCGGATTGCCCAGATCTCGCCTGAAACGGAACAGGGGCCTCCTCCTTGCAAGGCTCCAAGGGCAGTTCTTCCGAGGATGTCCCACGCGAAGGCGCGCCTCCTTGGGGAGGCTCCGGGATTGGTTTTCCGTCGCCGGATTCGCCAGATATTCGCCGGATTTCCCGGATCTCGCCTGAAACCTCTAAAAGCCGCCTTGGGAAGGCTTTCGGGGTCTTCTTTTCTGAGGGTGTCCCACACGAAAGCGCCGGTTTGGATTTCGTGGCTCGATTCCACTGATTTCCCTGATCTCGCCTGAAACGGAACAAGGGGGCCTCTTGGGAAGGTTTTTTTGCAAAGAAAAAATGTCCCACGCGAGGGCGCTGGCCTGGAATTCGTCGCCGGATGTGCTGGATTTGCCGGGCTGGCCGGATTTCCCGGATCTCGCCTGAAACGGAATCGCGCGTGGGGGGTCAGGATGGCGTGAGTTCCACGGGAACCCCCTCAAAGTAGCAATGCAATGCTCACGTAGCTGTGCAACGTCCATGCGACGTAGCTCAGGTGCTTCAATACCCATTGGTGCGAGCACCAATCGCCGCAACGCCGGCAGCGGCGTGGCCCGCGGCAGCGCCTGCGGCGGCGGGGCCCGTCGGCGCCCTCGGGGCCTGGGCGGCGTTGGCCACCTGCGCCGCCCTGGTCGCTGCCGCCGCCTTCGCCCGCTCGTGGCGCTTGGCGTCAATCCAAACAACCTGCCACCTTGTCATTGGCGCCCTGGTTTTGATGCTCAGCTTCATGAGAGAGTTGTTCAGCTCGCGGGAAGTTGGCACGAGCTTCGCGAAGGGCCCACCTGTAGCTTCTGAGCCTTGTTCGGACGATGTGCACTTCTTGAAACGAAAGGCGCGCCGTCTTGGCACAGGGCTCGGCGTCCTTAGTGAGACCAACACTTTCATGCCGAACGACATCAACATGTTGGGCCTGCGCCCGCTGCTTTTCCGCAGGGGCACGCTGCGGAACCATGCCTCCAAGCACTCCCTGACGATCAGGCCGTGCAACGAACAGTACTGCAGCAACCGCGAGCACCCGAGGATCGGTTTCTCCTGGAACTCCTCCACCTCCTCCTGCACCTCCTTGCTGGGTAGCGCGGGGGGGTCCTTCTAGTAATTGAGAGACATATTGGCCACCTCACTTTGAGCAACACCCCTGGCCGTAGGACTTGAATTGCCAGTGCTGGCGCTCAAAGCAAACGTCGTACCCTTTGTTGGAACGATCTGAAGCATGCTTCTTGCAACCGCCACGTCTTCTGCTGCCACAGCGCCAGAGGGGCCTTGCTGCGCCGACACCTGGCGCGAACACGAAGGGTAGGTGAAGTGGAAGCGTTGCCAGGCTGAACGGCCTTGCCTGCCGCGGACTAGCGGTATCCACGTGTTTCATTGTGGAACGAAGCATTTAGAGCCATAATGGCTACGGGGCAGGGTAGGGGGGGAATGGGGGAGGAAAAGGAAGATCACCCAGGCTGGCCTATCTAAGGTGGGGGGCTGCACGGGCTGACCCCCCCCCCCCCTGGCCTGGCGTCTCTTGCTGCTGCTCCCCCTCTCGGGGACGTCCAAGAGAAGTGCTCGCAGATGATAGCCGTGTGCGCAGGGGGGAGCAGGAGCTGTGGCGAAAGAAAATAGGAATCCAGGGAGATATCATGGCCCCTGCCATGATGCACGCCCCCCTTTACTCATCACCCCCCTTATTGGACGCCCCCGCCTCTCTGCCCCGCTCCTGACAGCCCACCTGGGCCGCCCGTAGACTCGCTTCTGGATGCGCCGCTGGGGCTACGGGCAAGACGGGACCCTGCATGAGGGACGAAGCCCCTTTGGGGCCCAATCTGTCCCTGGGCGCACAGTCTGGGTGTCCGAGGAGCGCCCGAGGAAGGAGACCGAGGAAGGACGCGGGGGGCCAAAGAGGTCACTTTTCCAAGGTTTCACCGCACGCGAAACGCCAAGAAATACCGGGGAGGCGTGAGACCCGAAGTTGGAGGACTCGAGGTTACCTGGCGGCGCCGCCCGTGCTTGCGGGACACTGGCGGGGCCCAACCTGCAAAGCTGACGCGAGATCTCCCGGTGCAAACATTTCACACGCTTGGCAGTCAAATTTCGCGCAGAGGCCGCGAAGAAACGACACAAAACAAAGTCCCGGCAAACTCGAGTCTGGCTTTGCCCTGACATTCGCCCGCGTGCGAAGACGAGGGGCGCGAGAGAGGAGCAAGTATCCCGCCACACCCCCAAGTCTGTCTCGAATGCCCGGAGCCTGACCATCGCAAGCAGAAGAAACCATCACTGCGCACACACACACACACATTCACACACGTTGGCGCAAACGGCCTCACGCAGGGCGACAAGCGGGAGTCAGCGAGAGTACTAAGCGTGGGGTCGCGGACGGGGCCTCAGGAATCGCTACTGCGCAACAGACGCACACACACCACACACACAAACATCTACATACACTTTCGGAGCTCCGCGCGGACTTCATGGATCGTCGCTGGATTCCCCGTGGCGGCGCCGGGGGCGCGCCCTGCGCGCCAGGGAAGGGGGGGCCCCAGCGCAGATCGAAGAAACCCGCGCGGATCTCGAACACCTTCTGCTCGTGCAACTTTCTCTTCTCGGAGCAGGGGTCCCCTATCAAATTCTTCGCCGTCCCTGGCCCTCTCGGCCGAGGCACCCGCGAGGGGGAGCGGTCCAGGAGACATTTCGCCTCCTCGGGCCCTAAGGCCCTGCGGCCACATTCCGAAAAGGAGCCGACGCCGCCAGCCCGCAAGGATGGCAGCGGATCAAAACCAGATAGGCAAGATCACCCTTTTCGGAGGTCCGCGCCAGTCCTCAGCACCGAAGCCTCAGCTGGTGGGCCTGTCTTCCACCACCACCACCATAAGTCGAAGGGGGGGAGGAGGTGAAGGACGAAGAGGAGGGCGAAGGGCAGGAGGAGGAGGAGGAGGAGGAGGAGGAGGAGGAGGAGGACACCCTCCCCCTCCAACTCATGGTGGTGGTGGTGGTGGTGGAAGACAAGCCAATCATCTGCATTTCGCATTTTTGCGGAGGCCCTCTAAAGAAGTAAGAGCGGCACAACTATGCACGTTCGGAGGTCCGCGCGGACTGCTTTGATCGGCGCTGGGCTCCCTTGGCTGCGCCTCCAGCGCCGCCCCTGGAGCGCTCCGCGCGCCAGGGAGGGGGTCCTGCGCCGATCCAAGAACTCCGCGCCAAACTCCGCCCGTCTTTCCTCTTCGATCCCCCGCGATCTGGGCTGAAGATTGGCAGGCCAGAAAAGGGTAAGTACGGAAAAAAGGGGTACGATGCCCAACAGCAAAGGGCGACAGCAGCGGCTACTTGGCGGGGGTGTTTCTGCCTCAAGTGGACACCGCTTGCAGCGACTCCGACAACGAGTCCTGCTAAAAATGGGCAGGCACTGCTGCTGGTCTTCGTCCCCATTCTTCCTGTGTCAATACCGATCGCACCGAGAGAACGCGATCTTGGGAGATAGAGTCAAGTCGGGCGTGTCCCCCTACAGGCGGATTTCTGGAACAGTGAGAAATACTCAAACAATACCCCCAAATAGTCCAAACATAATCGAAACATCGTCCCCAAACTATTTGTGGACTATGTTTAAACATTCCTCCTGTAGAGGGACATGCCCGACTTAACGATAGAGGCAACGGGCTGCCGCAGGCGCGATCTTGGGAGGGCAGAGAAGCACCAGTACCGCTGCGCCCCAGACCTCTCCCGGGGTGCACTCCGACCTGGCGGGGGATCTCCAGGACGAGCAGCGTTATCGGTATCTCCTCCTCCTCCTCGTCCTCGTCCTCCTCCTTCTCCTCGTCCTCCTCCTCCTCCTCCTAGTCCTCGTCCTCCTCCTCTGCCTCCCTCTTCTCCTCGTCCTCGTCCTCGTCCTCCTCCTCCTCCTCCTCCTCGTCCTCCTCCTCCTCCTCCTCCTCCTCCTCCTCCTCCTCCTCCTCCTCCTCCTCCTCCCCCTCGTCCTCGTCCTTCTCCTCCTCTTCCTCCTCGTCGTCTTCCTCCTCCTCCTCGTCCTCGTCCTGCTCCTCCTCCTCGTCCTCCTCCTCCTCCTCCTCTGCCCTTGCGCCCGAAGGGCCCCGTGCCCCCCGAGGCTGGCCTTGCAGCCCCGAGTGCACCCCACCGGCCGCGGTCGCTTAGAGCTCCACGGTGGTGTCCTCGTAGGTGCCCGCGGCCACCACCTTCTCTTCGGGTGGCCCAAAACGGGACGCACAGAGACACACTAGTACTATATGCCCTCCCTGGAGGCGTGCGTCCGACCCGAACATATAGTATACCCATCTCGTAGTATATGGTTTCCCGATCGGTGTGGGCAGAAAGTGCCCGCCACGACGCATATACTATAAGATTTCTGGGTGCGGGCGTCGCCCCTGGGGGGGCGACGGACATATAGTATAAGTATGCTAGGGTTGACGCCGACAAAAGGGGGTCCAGCTGAAAGGGCGTGGTGCAACAGATTTGGGGCTATTGTATTGCAAATGCACTGCGCCGGAAACTTGTATCGAATTGTATTGCAAGTAATGCATTGCACGCGAATGCATTGCACGCCCCAAATGTATTGCGCCCCGGAATGTATTGCACGCCCCAAATGTATTGCAACCCCGCATATCGATTGCAGCCTATTGCACCATCTATTGCACCACCCCCTTGTCGCTGGACCCCCTTTTGGGTCAACCCGATTCTCGGCATGAAGGGCATTGGGCTTAGGTCGGGCATGTCCCCCTACAGGCGGATTTTGGGCGAATGTTGTCAAACATTGGCAAAGATTGTCGACAAATCGTCCCCGGATTATTTTTTGACTGTTTTCGAATAGTGCTCCTGTAGAGGGACGTGCTCGACTCGAGCATTGGGCGACGAAGAGAAAACGATCTCACGCGAGATGGCATAGCAACCTTGAGACGGCCCACCCGGGCCGCCGGCGCGGCACGCCACATCGGTAACGAGGGCGCGCGAATGTCGGCACTAATGAAACCGTTTTCCTGCGTCGCTCAATCAAAACGAAATCGAAACGAAAACGGCCCACGAAATCGCCAAAACACCGTTTAGGTCCACCCCTGGTGTGGTGACGAACCGCGCATTGACCTCGAAATCCACAAAAAGACCTCACCGCGCGGTCCGTCACCGCACGGTTTCGGGACCCTGGAGGCCCCAATCGCCCGAGGCATCTTCGGAGAACGATCACCCCGAACTGACTCACCACACGGTGTGGTCACCGCATCGTTTCGGGGCCTCCGATTAGGGTGCGCCAAAGATTCGAGCCAGGAACAAGGGGGTTAGCGCATCATGGCCCGAGGCATGTGCGCGGACGAGTGGGGGAAAGCAAATTATTTGAAAGACGAGGCGAGGGCTACGAAATCTGGGAGATTAGATCGTGGCCATGATATCCATCGTCCGTACACCCGTCTTGGACGCCCCCAGCAGTCCTGGACCGGCAGCTTTCCTCCAAACCAGCTTTTCATCCTGAGCCGTTGATTCACTGCCCTGGGCACAAGAAGCGGCCCCAGAGACTGAAAACGGTGAAATGCCTCAGGACCCGTTCCCCTCAGGGCCGGGAACCTTCTTCCCCTCGCCAGCGTTCTGGATCTTGACCTCTCCCTTGAGGACGACACCCGCGGCGAACTCGATCTCGCCGACCACCGTCAGCTTCTTGCAGAACTTGAGCGAGGGCACCCCGTTGGGGATCATGGTGTCCTGAGGGGCATAGATAGGGGGGACCGGCTCAGGGGGGGAAACGTCGAGCTGGAATCGGCGACACATCGCCGATATATCGGCTATAGGCCCCCGACCACGAATCCGCACGTCACTGGGCGGGGTGGGGCTATCGGGCCCCTGTCGGCGATCACTTGACGATTGGGGGTCGATGCGTCCCCCCCTGAGCTATCCCCCCTATTGCTGCCCCTGATGTCCATGGCGTCCACAAACTTGTACCGGTCGTCCAGCTTGACCAGGGGGGGCTTGCCCTCCCGCTCGGGAGCCAGCTCGACGCGGAAGTCCTCGGTCAGGACGTAGGCGTCGGACCGCAGCGCGAGCAGGTCGTCGCACTTCTTCACCGGCGCGAACCGCGTCCGCGGGATGCAGATAGCCTTCGCGCCCGCGAAGCAGGAAATGGCCGCGCCCATGGCGGTCTCGAGCTGGATGACCTTCGTGGACTTCTTGTCGCGCGGGTCCTGGGCAAACCAAGCGGAACCGATGATTACCGCTACTCCACCTCTCTTAGGGTGCGTTCTGACTATAGTGTCGAGGCGGACCCAGCCGTAGCGACGAGGACTTCCCAAGTGGCTCAAAAAGGCGAAAACGAGGAACGGGTAGCGATATCGGTAAGCACCTCTTCTTCCTCTAAGGTCCACAGTCTTGTCGTTCAACATCACCGGCAGTGGAATCGCGCCGCCAGCCGACTCGAAGAGAGACTTCAGCTGCACCAGGTCCACCCACAGGTTGTTGGTGTTGAAATCCGCCCCCATGCTCAGCGGCCCCCTAGATGGGGTCCGAGTAGTTAGCTGGGGTCGGAGGATTTCGCTGCACCGCCGATGCATCGACGATGCATCGGCGATGCATCGGCGATGCATTGGCGATGTACTGACGACGTCGGCGACATCGGCGTGGAGAAAGTCTGGCTCCACATCGAGCCGCATCGTCGATATATCGGCGATGCGGCGCGATCCTCCGACCCTGTCTACTCGGACCCCATCTAGGAGGCCTAGAGCTCAGAACGCCCGTCAGCTGTCCAGCCTGGCTCCTGCAGTGTGAATATCTGGAGGGCCGGGATACAACCCCTCCTCGACGAGAGGGCCGCCGAAATCTCGGGCGTTCGTTGAGGCCCGCGCCTTCTAAGAAGCGGGGGTGCTTCTAAGAAGCCCTCCCCGCTCCCCACACCTCCCTCTGCACGTGGCTGAGTTCGTTGACAGGGGGGAGCAGCAAACGGCGGGTGCAGAGGTGTGCACCTCTCGAGCACCTTTTGGGCCCGCGGTGGCAGTCTGGATTCCACTCGATGCCCCTCCGAGGCTGCTTTCCTGTGATCTTCGGCCCCCTCACGCGCATGGCCCCCCCTGGCGCCACGTCCGCCCGGATCCTGGAGGCGGCTGGGGGAAAAAACGGTCAAGAAAGAAGATAAGGTAAGACGAAGCCAGGACGATGATAACGTCGGGCGTGGATAGATCGAGAATCTCTGAGATCCTGCGGCTCTGGAGGACGTCTCGAGCGCCGCGGCCTTCAGAGCATCCCAAAAAGCTCTGATAGCGTTCCGGAACGCTCTGGAATGCTCTGATCAAGAAAGGGGATGAGGGCACATCCATTCAAAATCGGTCCCTGACCCCCCCCCGGGGTCGAAGCGGATACGTTTTTCTAACCGCGTTCAGCCGCGGCGACGAGGAAGCCCCTTTCCCCCCTTTCTGGACGTCCCGAGACGTCCCAAGGACCCCCCAAGATGACGAGGGAGGAGGGAGCGGGAGGATGAGGAGGAGGCGGAGGAGGAGGAAGAGAAGGAGGAGGAAGAGGAGGAAGGGGACGGAGGAAGGAAACGGAGAACGAGGCTGAGAAGGATACGATGTTTGGTACCCGCACCAGGTAGGACAGTGAGCTGAAGTGGAGCGGGTCTTAAACTCAACCTCCTCCCTGCTGTGATGCTGCGCTGGCACGTCGGCGGGGTTCGCCGCAGGCGACTGGATACGCGTACTTCGCCGTGTCTTGGAAAGCTTTCTCATCCTCCTCCGGACACTGCGCAGACTCGCGCAACGTAAGACCACCGTCGGACTTCTTAGTGGCGAGGTGGCCACCCTTCTTGTCGGCATCGGTGCGGTCAGCGACCTCCATCATGAAAGGGGCGCCGGTGCTCTTGAAGTAGGACAGCAACTTAAGGTCCATCGTCGCGCCCAAGTTGTCGGAGTTCGACACGAACATGTACTTCAGCCCCTTGGACAGGAGCTTGTCCAGGGTGCCACTGCCGAGCATCGCGGGGTAGAGGTCACCATGCCCGGGCGGGCACCACTCGTTGTCTGGGGACGCGGGCCAGGACGCTGGCGCGTAGCCGTCCTTGGTGACCTTGGGGGCCTTGTTCTGCACGAAGGACAAGTCGGCGCCAGTGCCGAGATCTGGGTACCGTGCCAGTGCGGCCTGGGTGTCGGCCTCCGTGGCGAACGAGTTCATCAGCATGAACTTCATGTCAGGCTGGCTGTAAGTCTTCTTCATCCATGCCACCTGCTTGGCTATGAGGTCGAGGAAGCTGTTCCCCTCGTTGACAGTGAGCAAGGACTTCGCCTTATCCAGCCCCATGCCAGTACCGAGTCCGCCGTTCAACTTCAGGACGAGGGTTTTCTGCAACAGCTCCGGCTCCAAGGTCACGTCCAACGACTCGTACCTCGGCAACGGCGCCACTGGGTCCAGCGCGGACTCTGGCATCATGGTGGACTCGCCAGAGCACAACACTTTGAAATTGTACTTGAACGCGTTGATGGCGGCTTCGTTGCAACCGTCTCCCTTCATCTTCGCCTCGTAGGCTGGCCAGAGGGCATCGAAAGAGGCGGCCATCCCTGCGGCCCAACACAAGCCAGAAAACCCTGGCTCGATCGGAAAGTGTTTGAGAACGGCTTGAGCCAAGGGGGCTCACGCACAACAGTTGAGCAGGGACCGACCGTCCCAGCATTCCTAGAGTCCTACCACGACATTTTCTTACAACCCCCAAATGTTCTAAGAACAACCAGACGTTCTTAGAACAGAAACCCGATGTGTTAAACCAAGACAAACTCCGCCAAACATGTTCTAAAATATTTCGTGGTAACCACAAGAGGTTCTTAGGACATTCTTTGGTAGGGCTATAGGCGAGCAGGCAGGCACTGCTTGAAGCAGGCTTTTGTCGTGACAGCGCACACGCCGGCTCCTCGTGCCACCCACTGCGGCCTGTCTGGGGCGCCCGCGGCGCCAGCTCCGGAGCTCCTCCGCTGGGCTCCCCTCTCGGACTGCCCACGTGACCAATCCGACCAGACCCGAATTCCCACGCTTCGGGTTGGGGGGGGGATTGGTTCCACATGTGTTTTTGTTCCACGCCCCCGGATGCCCCCCCCCCCGCACTGGGCATGGAGGTAGAGGCCTCTTGGATGGGGTCGGAGGATCGCGCCGCATCGCCGATACATCGACGATGCATCGGCGATGTATCGGCGATGCATCGGCGATGTGCAGACGATGCGTCGTCGACGTCGGCGATGCATCGGCGACGTCGACGTGAAGCAAACCGGGCTCCACATCGAACCGCATCGCCGATGCATCGGCGATGCGGAGCGATCCTCCGACCCCATCTAGGAGGCCTAGAGGAGGGCAATTTGGGGCCTTCGAAAGGAGGAGGAAGAGGAGGAGGAGGAAAAGGAGGAGAAGGAGGAGGAGGAGGGGGAGGAGGAGGAGGAGGAGGAGGAGGAAAAGGGAGGAAGGCACTTGGGATGGAGGACAACTTGGGGCCGTCGGGCTGGGCTGGGTTGGCTTGGTGGGCGCTGACTCCCAGGGGGGGCGCTCGCCTGCACAGCCCTCGCTCCCCGCCCGCCTCGCTCCAAACCCGCAGCCGCCCGCCCGGCCGGCCGCCCTCAAGGTCTGAAAGGGGCCTGGGGACACACCGAGAGATAGACACACCGATCCCAAAAGGCCTTTTCTCGTCTTCCCCCCCTACTTCCCGCATTCTCCCGCGACGCTCTCCTGGGCGTCGGCGATCACCTGTGTCCGCGTGTGTTTTCTCCCCCCTCGGTACTTCGCCGCCGGGTTCCTGTACAAGGCGTTCCGTTGCAAGCACATCGTCTTCGGCACCGCCTGATTCCGGGGCTTTGCCCCCTCCTGGCCTTGACGTGAGGCCCCTCCTTCTGCCCCCCCCCCTTGTTAATTAGAGCTGTGCGCGGCCCGCTTAGCTTCGACCGGAAGAGGTGCGCTCTCGACCCGCGAATCAAAAAGCTGTCTCCCCCCTCCTGGAGGTCCTGGTCCTCGTCCTCGCCTCAGGGGCCCGGGTCAGCGCAAGCCCAGGCTAGCGAGGGCCCTGTCGCGAAGCCAGGCCGGCCGCCGAGCGAGCTCGGCAGGCCCAGGCCGGCGGAGGGCGGAGACGGACTGGCCATCGCTCGGACTTCCACTCCCTGTGTTTTTTTCCGGTTTCGTGCGTGGTTTTTTCCGCGCATTTATCAAGGACGCTCCTCGATGGTCCTCGCCGAAGGAACAATGCACACGTCCGAGCGATGCCAAGCGGAGGGACTCGGCCCCGCGCGGCCCCCGGACCCGGGTCAGCCGGAGGGGCTTGGCTGACCCTCGTTGGCGCTGACCCCCGCGGCGGCAGGTGCGTGCCGTGACGACCCCGGCGTCGGTTCCCGACGCCGCGTGCAACGGTCAGCCCGTCACGATCGGCGGCTTTCCGACCGCTAGGTCCTTCAGCATTGCCCGATTCTGGGCCACAGGCGGTGGTCAACCTGGCACGCCCACGGCGGGGTCGCCGCCGCGTCGGCACGACACGAACCTACCCCAGACGTCCGGCTGCTCAAATTTGTCCTATGCGTGGGCCCTGGAGGTCTGGACCACCGAGCTCGTTTCTCGTCCTGAGCCGTTCTTGACGGTCCCGAGGCCCCTGCGAGGGCCCCCAGAGGGTACAGGTCAAAGGTCAAGCCCGTGCGCCGGAAGGCGAGCCCATGAAGGGCACAGGCGGTGGCAGTCGGCAGCGTGCTATACACGCGCGCGGCACGATCCAGGGAGAACAGTACGTGCGTCTAATAAAAGGGGGAGGACTCATTCACATGGCGTGTTCATTGAGAACGGCAGCAAAAATGATGAAAGTCCCGAGAGGATAAAAAACAACCTCGCCCGCTCCCGTTTTTTCCTGGGGCGTCGGACCTCCAGGACCGTGCGTTCGCCGTCGGCGCCGGCATCCTCCGCCGCACTCCGCGGGGCCCGCCGTCCGTTATTGAGCAGGGGCCGACCGTCCCGGCATTCCTATAGGCCTACCACGAAATTGTCTCAGATCCCACACATGTTCTGATAACAGAAACACATGCTCTTAGAGCATAAGCCCGACGTGTTAAACCAAGACAGTCCCAGCCAGAAGTGTTCTGAGGACATGTCGTGGAAACCACAAAAGGTTCCGAGAACATTCTTCGGTAGGCCTATAGGCACGCCAGGACGCTTCGCCACTGCTTGACTTTCTCGTCCTCCACCTCCTCCTCCTCCTTTTCCTCCTCCTCCTCCTCCTCCTCCTCCTCCTCCTCCTCCTCCTCTCGAAGGCCCCAAGTTGCCCCTCCTCCTCCTCCTCCTCCTCCTCCTCCTCCTCCTCCTCCTCCTCCTCCTCCTCCTCCTCCTCCTCCTCCTCCTCCTCCTCCTCCCCCTCCCCCTCCCCCTCCCCCTCCCCCTCCCCCTCCAACTGATGGTGGCGGTGGTGGAACACGGGCCCCAGAAGCACCCTCCGCCGCACTCCGCGGGGCCCGCCGCCCTCTCTCTCGGGCGCGGGCGCGGGCGCGCAGGCCGCGCCTCCCGCGAGCGCGCCGGCGCGCGCTCCGCGCGCGGAGCCTTTGACCCCGCGCGGGCCCCGCGGGCAGCGCGCCGGGCCTTTGGCCCTGGCGCGCGCCGCCTGCTGTTTCGACGCTCTCCCAGAGATTTTTGGAGGCTTGGAAATGGACAACAACGCCAACATACGGCGTTGCCTCCACCAGGGGAAGATGATCCCAGATTTCGGCGTTGGATGTAAATGAGGGGCTCATAAATGGGTGGGCTGAATGGGGGGTCATATGGGGGGGGGCGGGGGGGCTTAATGGAGGATTCTTGGGCGTGGCTTCATGGGGGGGGTCATGTATGGGGGGGTCAGAAGCGGTTCCCGGTTGTGCCCCTTTCGGGCCCCTCCGGAGCCCCAGGGGGTACCGTCTGGGTACCATGTCAGGGTACCCTCGCCAGCACCCCATTTATGACCCCCCATTACGCACCGCCCAAGACTCGGATCGGCGGCGCGCCGGGGACGGGGGAGGGGGGAGGGCAGAGTGGGCCCGCCTTTCCAAAGGCGGCGGGGCTTCTCAGAAGCCCGCGGGCCTTCGGAGAAGCCCCCTGTGGCCTCGGAGAAGGCATGGAAAGCTGCCCAGAAGGCCAGAGGCCTTCCGAGCCCCCTTGAGAAGGCCCGCCCCCTCTGCCTTCCCCCCTCGGCGCGCCGCCGATAGGAGGCAAATCCAGGCAAGTCCTTGTGGGAACGATTAAAGGTTGTTGAAACCGATTAGGGTGCCAGTAGGCTGGATCAGTCCAGAACAAGCCCAATATGAATCCCGACCAGGCCTCGGTAAGCGGGATTAGACCTACTACACCAGCGCCGATGCTGAAGAACCTCCCAGGAGCTGCATCTTCACCCGGGCCTCCAGAGACTCAAAAAACTAGAGTCCGAAGCTCTCCTGCATTCTCGGCCTCTGGAGGCCAGGTTCGGACCATGGTGATGTCAGGGACACAGCTCGAGACGGAAACCGTTCCCAGGGAGCGGGTCGAGAGCTGTGGAGCCCCGAGGCTCGAAGATATCGAGTCGCTGGAGGTCCGGATTCTTCGCGACAGCGAGAATAGTGAGGGTGGCGGGTGGCAATACTCGCTGCTCCGCTGCCGCATCAGAGGGAGGGGCAGGCGAGAAGGGGGGCGGAGGACCAGGGAGGCGAGGAGGGGGGCGGAGGAGGGGGAGGCGAGGAGAGGGCAGGGCGAGGTGGCGAGCAGGGTGGAGGCGAGCGAGGCGGGAGAGGCGAGGAGGGGGAGGCGAGGAGGGAGGGGGAGGCGAGAATGGGGAGGGAAGGAGTGCGAGGACCAGCCCAGCGGAGAGAACAGCAGGGGGCGCGCCATCCTCGAGCGGGCACGCACCACATCGACACGTTCACACTTTCTGTGAAGACGTCTGCAGACTCGGGGATGGACTGAACCCCCTTAAGTAAAACGTGGCTTAATCAAAACGACCTAGCGCCCAAACCTGGCGGGCGCAAGCCTGAAAACTGACGGCCGCGGCGCCCCTCTCGAGAAGCGAAAACGGATAATTCGCTAATCGACGTGTCAGGGTGGGAGTTTCTGTCCACCCCCGACAGACCAACGCACCCTCACGAGGAGTCTTAGCAGCACGCCTCTCACCATCTCTCGTATGAGGGAGCAGGGGGTCTGCGGACCCCGTTCGCCTCCGGAGATCCGAGATAGGGGGCACAGTCTCCTCGGGCGGGCAAGTGCGAAACGCATGTTTTCTTTCCCAGGTTGGGGCGCGATCCCGTCGGCCTTTTTCGAGGATACCAACTGAATTATTCGACGCGCATGCCCCCATCTGTGCATCTCACTTCCTGGCGCTTCCGCACCTTGAGTGTCAGGGTGAAAACCTTCGCCTGTGGCGACTGGGCGATCCCTGGAGGTCTCCCCTCTGGGGTGCCCAAAATGATATGCCTGCTGCATCGGGATGTTCTCAGGGCTCTTGAAGGAGCGGGGTCGGGAGGAGGAGGAGGAGGAGGTGGAGGAGGAGGTGGAGGAGGAGGAGGAGGAGGAGGTGCCCAAGCCAGCGTTTCGTCTTAGGCGCTCGAAGCATCCCCACGATCTGCTCTCAACGCAGGAGTCCCAGCAACGGAGCGGGCGGCACGCTCGGGACAGCCCCACAACCCAGCCGCTAGCGGGCCCGTGACCCACCTGGCGGCTCCCCATTCGGTAGGACGCGGCTGCTTGACGCCGGGACTAGCGCTGAGAATCAAGGGCTCCCAACTTCGCGCTTCGCGCTGCGCGAAGCGCGACGTGCGAATAACTTCGCGCTCCCGCGCCGCCTCCTAAGGGAGAAGAGGAGGACGAAGAGGAATCGGAGCCGAACCGCAAAGCGCGAAAAACTTCGCACCCTCGAGGGCGCCCCTGAAAAATAATCGAAATCTGGGCCCTACTATCGCCGACGCGCACGCACTAAGCTGCGCTGAATTCGAGCGTCTTCCCCGCAAAACCGGCGTCGGCCCACGCCCACAACACAAAGAGGTCTTCGGACCCGACCTCATCGATGGCCTTGCCGTCACCCGTGTGCTGGTCTTGGACACTGCTGTCCTTTCCCTTCCATCGCAGGAGGTAAAGGAGAGATGGGGGAGGAGGGAGGAACAGGTGGAAGAGAAAAGAGGAGGGAGGAGGACCGAGTCGACGAAAAAGGGGGAAGTGTGAGGACGTCTACGAGAAGGACTGAGGTGGAGGAGGATGATGAGGAAGTGGAGGAGACTGAGGAGGAGACGGATGAAAGAGGATGAGGATGAGGAGGAAAAACCCGAATCAACCCAGGATGCATCAACGATCCCGCAATACTTACACCCTCACGGCGCAAACAAATAGGATATCATAACTCAAGGAATCGTCCTTCAACACGCCATTCGAAAAATGATCCGCCATCCGTCCGTGTAGTTGTTGTACAATTTCAATACTGGACATGTTGGCATGACATGTGTGGAAGTCTCAAATGGCAACCCGGAGTTGAATGATCTCCCTTCCGTGCGTGTTAAATTTATTATACAATTGGGAACCCCTAGCCATCCAAATCCCGGAAACCTCCAACGGTAACCTTATTGTGAAAACGGGTCCGCTTCTGTCCATACTTGTTGCGATAACGTGAGGAGGATGTGCACGGCACTGCGGCTAGATGCTCATTTTTTAACGACCATCCCTTCATCCTTGCAGCGGCTGCATTCTTCAAAACACGAATGCGTGCGACGTTAAGACGCACACCCCAAATTGAAGGCTATACGACACGGAGGATCAAGCATAAGAAAGAGGGATGAAGGAGGAGGAGGAGGAGGACTGTTTCGTCACAGTTGATCGAACCAGTTCCAAGTTGGCCGCACAGCGGCCCAGAAGACTGGGAGACGGAGAGAAGCAGGAGGCCACAGCTCACACCTCCCAGAGGGAAGGAGGGCCTTGGCCAGCCGCCTCTCAACACGCCTCAATCTGATCCCGAATCGTGGCCATCCTTGACCGCGCCTGCGACCAGAGGAACGTTATCCTCCTCTTCCTGCAGGTTGTCCACCACACGCCGGAGCATGGACCTGGGATCAGCTGGAGCAGAGGATGTCGCCGCATGGGGTGTGTCCACGCTCTCAAACATGAAGCGGGGAGCTTCTCCATCTGCTTCGAACGTGTCACCGAATGGCTCAGGATCAGGCCTGGACGGCCTCGCCTCGGCCCAAGACCGACTTGGCACTCCCCCACCCACTCCCCGCTCCACCGCGCCCGCTATCTTCTCGGCAACACGCGCACGCAGAGCAGCTGGCCTATCAAGGTAGCTGGCATGAGCTGGAACCCGCACAGGCCGAACTGCCTGCTCGTACGAATTAGCCTCTTCGAGGGTGAGTGGAGCCTCTTGCTCCGCACAAGTGACCGCCAGCTCTTTCTTAGGGTGCAAACCTCTTCGCAACTTTCTGAGAGCCGTAATGCCAGCGTTGCTCCTTTCCTCGTCCGTGCGAGGCTGCTCACAACGCTTGACTAACTTAAAAATCCCGTGTTGGGCGAAGTATCCGCACAGCATACAGAAGACAAGTGGCTTAGACTGGTTAGCCAGTGGGTTGGAGGCCAACTGGTGGCCGTGTCGAGGGGAAGTGGTCAAGAGCTCCTTCACCCTCGCGAGGAACCCAAGAAGAACAAACAAAACAAACACGACTCGGGTCTCGCTTCCCTCGTTCCACCATGAAACTTCAAACAGCTACTGCACCTGGAGCCCCACACCCAAGGCTCCCAATAATGCCAGCCATCGTTTTTTTTAATCAAAAAGTTTGACAGGGCGCTCTTGCTTAGGCGGACGCTGATGCTAGACCCTTGGAAAATGTGGGAGGATCCCCGCAGCGAGACGCGCCACCGTTTGAAGATGCTAAATCGAGCTACTGACCGCATCGGACTCGGCGCCCGACGGTTGAGGATGCAAACGGATTGCTGCCTTGGCTTCCTGATCCACCCGCCAATTAGCCTGGCCAATCCACCTCTCAGGGGCAGGGAGCGCATCTATTACACTTAGCTCTCTGTGCGCTGCGGTGAAAACAGCTGGGGCATACGTATTATTAACCATGTGCTGCAGCGCTCCTCTGCGAAGGCCCGAGTACTTGTGTTTGTGACTGAGCTGTTGAGGTATACTGTTGTGTAATCGTACATGATTCATACAATCGCTATAGCACGCAACACCATACCGCGGCACGAAAACGGGCAAGAGGCTAAGTTGCAACTGCTCGGCTGCCTGGCTTGTCTGCGGAAGTGAAGGCCAGACTGTGCCCTTAGCCGTCGCCACCTGCTGCCCTTCGGGGCCCATGAATACCCACGAATACGCTGCCCTGGAGAGCTCTTTGATGACATGGGGAACGCAGGACCCGTCTCCAGAGACACTCAAACCGGTGGTGTCAAAATCGTTCCAAGCTAAGGGCGACAGCAGCACTAAACTCCGCCACTCTTTCACAGCGACAGGGGGTGGGGGGAGATGAGGGAGGAGGACTAAGAAGGGGGGGGGTGGAGGAGGGATGGCTGAGGACCAGGACTGAGGAGTTCCGAAGAGCCCACTATCAAGAGGGATGAGGAAGGAATGGAGACGGATAGGGGGAGGACCAAGAATGAATGGAGGAGGGAGGCATGGAGGCCATTCTGAGGAAGAGGGATGAGGGAGGATGACCTAGGAGGAGGAGGAGGAGAACCGAGGAGGAGGAGGAGGATGACCGAGGAAGAGGAGGAGGAGGAGGAGGAGGAGGAGGAGAAGGGCGGAGGAGGAGGAGGAGGAGGGCGGAGGAGGAGGAAGGCGGAAGGAGGGAGGGCAGGGGAGGAGGCCTCGTCAGGGCGAGCTCGCGGCAGCCACCCTGGGGGGCACCACCAGCACCGTGTCGCCGTCCTCTCGGCGCCCGGGCGAACAGGGGGAACGCGCGGCACAAAAGGAGAGGCCTTGTCGCCTTCATGGTGGGAGGGGGCGGAGAACGTGTGGTGAGGGGGAGTGAGGGGGGAAGGGGGAGGAAGAGGAGGGAAAGGAGGAGGGATGGGACGGGGGCAGGAAGGGGAGGGGGGGAGGGGAAAGAGGCGCGTGGCGGCAGGGGGAGAGGAGACGGGAGGGGGGGCTTGGGCGCCAATGTTCTGCGATGCTGCCTCAGCTTGCTGTGTTTCCAGAGGGCAGCTGCTCGAAAGTAGGGGTAAGGGCAGGAGGGCCAGGAGTGGACGGAGAGAGGGAAGGGTCGGGGTGTGAAGGAACGGATTTTGAAATTTCCGGTCGGTCGCGTTGGATCATGAGGGAAGGGGATCGAATAACAAGGAACGAGAAGGGGAGACGAGACCCATCTTACTTGGACGTGGGTTAGCGTCAAGCCCTGACTCCGTAGAACTCCCACGTGAGGTCACCCTCCCCCCAACGCCCCCATGCCCCCAGCCACGTACACACCCCACCTACCACCCCCGACCACCCAATACCACCCCCCAGAAATCAACCTCTGCCAGGCCCTCGACGGCCTTCCCGTTACACCTCGAATACTCCCAAATTCCGAGTGGCCTCGGAGGGATGCGTGAAGCGCAAACACGTCGTTCTCTCAACGGCTCTGTTGCCAACAGCATAAGTGGCATGTTACCTGTTTGTTGTGTATGTGTGTGTATGTACATGTGCGCGTGTGTGCGCGTGTGTGTGTGTTGCATGGGGACATATACGTGTACGCCGACGTGGGCGCATGCCATAGTGTTCACTCTTCACCTACCTTGGCTTCGCATGGCTCTCGAATAGAAGTGGAAATTCACTGGATGCAGTCACTGCTCGGCATCGCTGCTCGCAAAAGATAGGCCATCGAAGACGCCAATTTCTGCCCCGCTGCAGCGTGCCACCGCGCCCCCTGGCACGCTGGGGCGTGCTAGAATGCCAAGTGCTGCCGGGTAGGATTTCTATAATTTTCTGAAGCCCTCCCTTCGGGTCGCGGCCAGAGGCATGCACCGTCACCGCCTCCCGATGCCACAATACCTCCCCAAATGCAAAGGTTCGCGCTCCCGAGGCCCAGATGCCTCCAGGTAGGTCCAATATCGCTCCAAAAGCGGCAACTTTGGCCTTAGGGCGGCCCAATATGGCTTCAAGACGGCCCAAGAGGCCGTCGAGGCGTCCCAAGAGAGCCCCAAAAGACGCCCCAAGAGGCCTCACACGTTTCGTGGCCCCACAAAGGGGCTCCACCGACAGCCCCAGAGGCGCCGTTCACATATGGGCGTCACGCCCGTTCCGGCACACCCCGCACACGTCCCGTAGCCTCAAAGGGAAACTCTACCGAAGGCCCCATATGCACCGTCCACATGTGGGCGTCACGCCTCCGTTCTGCACACCCCGCACGTGCTTCGTGGCCCCATCGGAAGGTCCACCGAAAGCAACCAGAGGCACCGTCCACATGTGGGCGTCACGCCCGTCCCGGCACACCCCTCACACGTCCCGTAGCCCCAGAGGGAAGCCTTACCGAAGGCCCCATATGCACCGTCCACGTGCGGGCGTCACGCCCCTGTCGACGCACCCCCACAAATTTCGTGGCCCCGTACGAAGCTCCACCGAAGGAACCGTCCACATGTGGGCGTCACGCCCCTGTCGGCGCACCCCGCACAAATTTCGTGGCCCCATAGGGAGCTCCACCCAAGGCCGGAGCGACAGGAACCACATGCGTCCCCAGGCCCATTCTGGCACACCCTTCGTACGTTTCGTGGGCGAAAACATCTCTCACTCCTTCGTCCCCTGCTGCGCGGTACTCATGGGGAAGTTTTTGAAGGGGGCCGGTAGGCCCGACCAGAAGCTACGCCTTAGGCGTAGCAGAGCTACAGCTTTGTTGTACCGTAGTAACGATAGTCCCAGTAGTAGGGGATCGTCGCGGGATCGACGAGCCATCTCAAGCAAATGATGCTGTGGCTTCGGAGGCAGATGGTCCACCTCGCACTGAAGTGTAATCAGATCTGGGCGGCCGGCCGCTTGAGCACAAACGGCCGCGCACACACGCTCGTTACCTCTCGCCTGTATCCCAGCTCACTTCAGAGTCGAGGGGGGGAGGGAGACGAAGCGTGAGTCCGCCGTTTCTATACAGTTGGTACAGCAGCTACTATGTTCAAAAGGCAGCAAAAAGGCGGGGCCGTAAGGAAGGCGGACCCGCATGCAAGTTGCCTCGCCTGCACGTTATTGTGCATACGATTACTCCTCAGGCGGCCTCAGACCAAAATGTCTGGCCAGCCCGATAAGGAGTATGACGCTTGAAGTCATGCTTGAAGTATTGCGTACCTCCCATGACCTGTAGGAACATATTGCTGTCGACGCCCCCCTTTGCGTGGCCATCCGCGGTCATGTCGCGAGCGTCACACCACTGAATACTATGCACGATTCCTCGCTCCATCATCTGTCGTATCCGACTGATGTGTCCTGAAAGGGCACACTCAGTCGGCTCTTTTTCAAGTCTTTGCTTGACAAGGACCTAAAAACAGACTCAGCATCTATGGCCAATGTGACCTTGACGCTCAGGCCACCCAACTCAAGTACGTCTTTCAACTGAGTGGGAATCAGCGGCCCTGCAAGGAGCTCGTGCGGAGTCACGATCGTGGGATAGTAGTCCTCCAAGTTGCGGGCTGCTGCTAGTGTCTCTGCTGGACAGCTTGAGCGGACCTGCAAGCGGTGAGACTTGCAGTGCGCATCGATCAAGTGGACGACAGGCCTGCCGGATGGCGTGTTTCCACGCCGTAGCAGGTTTGCCCCGCGAAAACCATAGCCTTTCACATCGTCACCGGCATCTCCAGTCAGGCGTCGTTATAACCTGAGTCGCTGTGCAGGTCAACGTCGCCCGCTGGAATCATCGCTTGGTAGACGATATTATTAGGGCAGGCCTGCAATTTCCCGGTCATCGCGTTCAGTCGTCGCACTTGTATACTGGTCGAGTCTTGGACACGTTGTAGAGAGACCACATATACCATCACCCACACATGGGTGATTAATGCGTGAGCCAATGCTCCTCTGAGGCTGACGACCATGTCTGCGACCATCCTTGATGCCGTGGCGCAAGCGTCGGCGCCGGTGGGTTCATGATGCTGCATAGGACGGAGCTGTTTGATGTATTCATCTTGGTCCAATGTGACATTGCCGTCCTCATCCATGGTATACCTCGCAGCACACTTGGTATATGTATGCTTGTTGAGTCTACACTGACCAAACATGTCCTCTGCGCACTTGGCGCACTTGTCAGGTGGTGCCCTCAGTGCCGGCCATATTGATATCATCAACATGTTTGGCTGTGCAAGTTACTGCTCGTCTCGATTCTCTCGTCGTAGGACGCGGGTCTGAGACCGAAGCCCCCCGGGGCCCTTCTGAGCTTTAGTGGGAAACATCTGGGTGCATCCTTGGTGCCGGTGCCTGGCTCAAGGCGCTGCAAGCGGCGCTTCGACTCGTCGTTGCGTCCGAATCCTGGGAGGGGCCGAAGCGCCGTGGCCAGTCCAGGCGGCAAAGTAAAGCGCGCGACGCGTTCTTCCTCACCAGTTGCCTCAGCAAGTTCCTGGTGGGTCAACCCTTTCAGGAAGGCCGTGTTGATGTCGAGGGGGGCAATGGCCCATTGCCTCTTGCACGCTGCCGCGCTTGCGAGTAACTTCTGGCTTGGCCGCCGCGCCGCCCCTGAGGGCGCTTCGAAAACTTCAAGGTCCATAAAACCTAAGCACCGGGCGCATATCTGATGGTACGTTCCATGTCGCATTTCTCGTTCTTCACGAACTTCTATTTATGCACGTGCCTCGATGTCATGATGTTTGGTTTTATATAAAAATATATCGATATATTGCATCTTGAAACACTTGTCAAACCATGTCTTGAGTTCGGTGTATAGGGCCTTTGATACTTTCTCGGGGTTCGCCTGGACGTCGACCTGCGCGAAGAAGTCGCCTTCGTTGACAACAGCAGCTCGCTTTGCAGCGGAGGTAACATATACTCCCAAGGTGGTTGCGCGGCTGGCATCGAATATCCTGCGCTGTTGTTCAGATACGATTACCTTTGACATTTCTGCCGTGGAGCGGAGTTCTACATATTGACAGTTTTCGTCTGAGTCCACTCCGTAACTGTGGTCTTCGACCGTCGAGCACAGTGGTACATGATACGCCTCCTCGATGTCGGAGTCGCGCGGGTGCCCCACCTTCGGCAAGTGCCCCCGCTGTTCTTCAGATACTGTGGCCGACGCACTGTTGTCGGGAATCACATGTGCGGGTACAGTGTAAAGGTCGCCCAGTGGAGTTGCCTCCCGCAGCTCCCTTTCATCGCGTAGTTCTGTATACCGCACTTCCATAATATGTTCCTCAAGGTCCGCTTCCGATTCTTCATATATCGTAGGAAGCCGTCCACCCTCCTGCGGTGGTTCGGCTTCTGGGGCTTCTCCGGCGGTTTCGTCGTGCGTCGGTCTTTCCGCCAGTTCCTCGAACTTTGTCATGTCTGGGTCAGAGCCCGCTTGAGGTTTAGTGGACTTTAGGCCCTGGATGATTCTCGAATGTTCTGAGCCAGTTATATCATGAATATTGAGGACAGTGCCTTCTGCTTTGTAGTAGTGGAATCCTGGATTCACATCGTTGTCATAATGGGCCAATGTGCCGCTGTCAGCGTAAGCCACCGGAGGTAGCTCGTGGATACCCGTGGCCAACCTAACATAGACTACGTTCTCACTGCAGAAGAAGTTTCTGATAAGGTATTGTAACGCCAGATGTTCTTTAGGATATAGTTCGCTTGCGCTTGTCATCTGATGCGTCCCCCTTGTGGCCGGGACATAGTCAAGTGTCATCGCAGGTCTCCCCGCAGGTAGACTGGCTACGAATGTCAGTGCTGTCCGTAGTGCAGTGTTGTCGGAGCCGATTTCCCTGGTTATCAAAACTTCGATG